CTCCTCCTTGAGCCCTGGACTTAGCCTGGGGCACATCAACTGAACAGAGGCCGTCCTGAGTCATCCTAGATCAAACAAGATCTGGCTCCTTCGCCCGCGGGCCTATCTCGTTTCTCCTCCGAAGGAAAAAGCCGCGACGCTGGGCTTCATCCTCTCGTGCCCTCGAGCTCGCGCGAGAAGGAAGAGCAAACGGGCGACGCCAGCCCTTGCAACTGCGTCGTAAACGTGAAAAGGCGGTGCCACCGCACCAGAAGAATCATTCACTCGCGCCCTGCTCCGATGAGCAGGTCCACGATCATCTGCGCCTTGAGCTGACCGTGGTAGATCCTCAGGCGCTCGCGCTCCGCTCTGAGGTCCACTGCGCTCGGGCGCCGTCTGCGTGTGTCGGCTTGGCCGCCAGCTGTCCTCGATCTCCAGCCTGTCGGTTGGCCGCTCATACTCATCCTCAGCTGGTGGACGTGCTACCAATCAGTTCTCGCCCTCGTCGGGCTTCGCGAGCTCTCACGAACCCTTCGGGAACCGTAACGGCGCCGCGCATGCACGGCGCACGATCCACGTCGCCAGGAATGCGAACGCCAACGTCGAGCCGAACATCGCTGTGAGCATCGTCGTCCAGATGGGCTCCGCCACGGTGGAACTGCACGCCACCATCTCCGCCTGGCTGTATGGAATTACTGCCGAGCTCTGAACTCCACCGAGCATCGTGGCCGCCATCATAACTCCGAACACCTGCGTGTTGAGGGCGGTGTCCGAAGGGGCAGGAACGCCACCAGTTTCAGGAATCTCGGCCCCTCCAGCGGCGTTGTGTGCGTGTCGCCCCTGTTGACATCCGCGTGGGTCTTCGCCATCGTGATGGTCCGATCCCTGACCTTCACCTGCGCCCAGATGTACTTAGTCTCCAGGTGGTGCACCTTGCCGCATCCGAGGCGCGATGCGATGCCCATGGCCCCAGACCTGTCAGCGTTGATCTGCAGCGTCACCTCGAAGCCCATCTCAAACATCACGCTGCGGAGCCCGATGCCCCCCGCCGATCTGTTCACGATGCCCGTGAACTCCGCCTCGGCGCTGCTCAGGGCGCGGTTGCCCTGCTGGCCGCTCCAGCCGTCGATCCGGTGCGAACCGATGAACGGGAAGCCACCGTCCACGGACCTCCGACCAGGCTCTGATGCCCAATCGCTGTCGACCTCCGCCGCGGTAACCTTCGGCATCCTCTGGAACTCGAAAAAGAGCTCGAATTGCGGGTGCTGCTCTAGGTCGCTGGCCAGGCGTTGAAGCAGCAACCGATGGTGCCAAGTCGGTGCCACCATGCCCCTCATGAGGTAGGCGACGGCCTGCTGGATGTCGAAGCGGTCGTGTGCGACGTAGAGTGCGGTGTGCGCCGTGCTGCAGTAGGTGGTCGCGTACTCCGTGCTGGGCTCGTCGGATGACTCTCTGCAGTCCTTCCCGATTGTCCTGGAAGGCGCGGTGATCGCGCGCTTGGTGGCGTTGCTCTCGCCCGTCTTCCTGCTGGGCATGGTGCTGGCCAGGACCTCCACGTGCTTGCGATCGTGCGTGATGCCGAAACCTTCGGGGCACCACGTCACTGTGCACTTGAGGAAGCTGCCTGGCTCAACTCTTCCTTGCCTCGGGCTCCCGACCCTGGGCATCACCTTGATCGTGAAGTGACCTCTCACCAGCTCGCCCAGCCAGTCGAGCGCGCCCCTCCTTCCTCCAGCCAGGACGCCGCCACCATGAACAATCGCAATCAGCAGGCGCTCCTTGTGGTAGTAGACTTGAACCGTCACCGTGATGCGGACGAAGCCTCCATTATCCATGACCTCCATGGTCAGCTTCTGAAACAAGAACGAGGCCCTCCTGGTGCCGTAGAGTGCCCACTTCAGCTGGTACACGATGCCTTCGGACTCCTTTCTCTTGGGCGGCACCACGTAGATGCCCTCGTCGGTAAACGCGTGGAAGAACGCCACCGACACGTCGTAAAAGAGCGAGCGTGCCGTCGCAGCCGGTCCCCGCGGAGTAGAGGCTCGATGCGAAGGAGACCACCAGCCTGAACGCGGCCAGCGGCGGCGCGCCTGCGAAAGTGTCACCCCGCGCGTCCCAGGCGAACTGCATGGCCACGAAGCGCGCCCTGACCGACTCCCTGCCGTCGTCGTCGCAGCGCTCATCGTCGACCCACTTCCTGCGGACGCGCTTGCCCTTCGCGAAATTCTTAGGCGCGCGGTCGAAGACCTGGAACTCCTCCATCTGCCCGTGCCCCTTCTCCCTGCCCTGCTTCGCCAAGGAAGGGCCCAGCCTCCTGCCTGACCTAGCCCCGAAGGCGTTCTGGTTGGTCGACTCTCTGTCGCAGAGGCTGTGCGCGTTGGTGTTCATTTTCGCTGTCGTAGTGAATGGCGTAGCACGTCAGCGCCAGCACTGCGGTCGCCATGTTGACAAAACAGGCCCGCGATCACCCTCTGCTTTCTCTTCGGCTTCTCCGTCGCCGCGGTCCCGTCCCCGCCCATCTCGATCATCCCGAGCTCCATTCCGCCCTGCTGCCCCTGCGCTGGACGTTCCACCTGCATCGGACCCGAGGGGGCATCTGCCACAAGTCGACGCCTGCGAGGTCGCCCGCCTTGATCTGCCTCTGGACCATGTAGGGCAACAGGTGGCGCTGGGGCCGATGCTGCCGGTGCAGGTTGCTCGTCGGCGGGTGCAGGCTGAGCAGGCTGATCTCCCCCTCCTGGGGGTGCTGCAGCTGCTGCGGAGGCGGCTGCTCGAACTGCTGCCTCCTGCTTGTCTTTCTCCTCCTCGTCCTTCAGCAGGCTCTCGATCCGATCTCTGCAGGACTCGGTGCGTGGGTGACCGGGCCCATAGCAGCCGTCTCAACCAGGTGTAAGTCCAACTCGATCGATGATGGCCCTCGTGATGTAGCGGCGGCGCGGGGGGGGGCGGCGCTGCCTCGGGCCCTGCACGGGTGTCCCATGGCGTGCGCTCGACATCGTTGAACAGGCTCTTGGACCATCGCTGGTCCTCAACTCGCCTGTTGATCGCCCTCGCCGTCTTCCGACCAGCAGTGGTCGCCGGGAGGTCCTGGATCTGATACATCACAGTCTCGCCGAACTCGCAGAGCTCCACCGTGGCCGCGGCCCTTCAGGTGCTGGTCGGGCGCGAAGCCACCCCCCTTCACTGGGTGCCTTGGCAGGAGCCATCCTGCATGCCGAATCACCCAGCCCATGCTCCAGTGGTTTACCTCGACTCGATGGATGCCTCAGTGTGCGGAACGTGCCTTCGACCATCTTATTGGCGTTCTCGATCGCTCCCTTGCTCTTGGGATCTCGCCTGGGTCCGCTGCGAGGCACTGTCTTCTCCCTTCGAGCCAGCTGCGCGGCTCGGGCCAAGGCTAGGACAGCGGGTTCTCCATCAGCTCCAAGAAGAGCGCGGTCGAGGCCCCACATGCGCATCGCCGCCGCCGTCACTGCTACGGCATAGTCCGCGGGCCCCTTCGCGGTCATCTGCGCGCGCTCGATCGCGCCCGACTGGCGCTCCAGGATGTTCAGTACCGCGAGGGGGGCGCCTTCGATGTCTCCGAGGAACAAGTAGTCGATGCAGACCAGCGGGATCAAGCGGCTGGGGTCCGCTAGGCGCGTGTGAGGGCCCTCCTGACCACGGCCCACGATGCAAAACAAACACCACGCGCGGAAAGGCCAGTGCGTGAAACGATGCTGGTCTCGAACAGCTCGATCTGGCATCGCTGGGATCCCTCTCGCCTTAGCCGCCGCGGCTTCTCCAGAAACCCGCAGAAGCGCTCTGTGTTCTCGCTGTCGTTGAAAGCCCTCGCGTTGATCTCCTTCCTGGTCTGGTTGATCCTGGCCATCGCCGGCAGCTGGTGGCGCCGGTGGGGGCGGCGGTGCTGGTGGGTCAGCAGGTGCTTCGTGCGGAACAGCTCGGGCCTCAGTGTTCGGCTGCACGGGGTTGACGAGGATCGGCTCGGCGACGTTCTCGACGGGCCTCCTGATCCTGAGCCAGAACGTCCTCCCGCTCCTGCACAGCTTGGTCATGCGGCCGTCCGCGAGCAGGATGTAGAGGCCCTTGCCGAGGATCGGGACATGACCTCCCTCCGTGAAGGTGTCGGCGTTCACGATGGCGCGCTTCGCGTTCGTGACCTGGAACTCTCTCTGGAGAGGTACTCAGTCGCTCTCGGCTGCCGCGGTCCTCGTGCCCATGGACTTGACCTCGTCTCCAGTCGCCGACTCGCAAGGCGGCAGCTTCTTGGGCGGAAGCATCTCGGTCATGTTCGCGAACCCCTGCGGGCAGGTGGTGAACCCTGAGCCTGTATCAGAGAGCGCCCAGTCGAACTACACCGAGTCGCCGACCGTCACTGGCAGCGCATCGCGCTGCGTCGTGGCGTACAACATGCCGACCTGCCAATAGTACTCCTCGGGGGTCGGGATGTCAGCGTCGCCTGCCACCTGGATGTTCGCGATGTGAACGGTAGCGCTCGTCGAAGGTGGACCCCGCTGCTGTTGCAACTGCACCTGGGCTAGGACTGCTGCCGCGTGAAACACGTCGATCGTGGGGGCCAAGCTGCTCTGCGAGCCAATGCTGCTTCCCTTCAGCGCCGTCGTTGCCGTCGAGGCGGAAGGCTGCGCCTGGGTCGCGGCCGTCAGCGACGCGACCTTCCTGCAACCTTGAGCCCGTGTGCTAAACGTATCCAAAACCTTTTTGGGGGGGAGTGTGTCTGTACTGCCGTAGAAAAAGTAGTAGTAGTAGTAGTAGTAGTAGTAGTAGTAGTAGTAGTAGTAGTCGTAGTCGTAGTCGTAGTCGTAGTCGTAGTAGTAGTAGTAGTAGTAGTAGTAATACAAAAAGACGTAGTCGTAGTCGTAGTAGTAGTAGTAGTAGTAGTAGTAGTAGTAGTAGTGGTAGTAGTAGTAGTAGGAGTAGTCGTAGTAGTAGTAGTAGTAGTAGTAGTAGTAGTAGTAGTAATTGTTGTTGTTGTAGTACTACTGCTGCTACTACTACTACGA